CATAAGACACTTCTGCCGAGTTCCTGGCCACCATGTTGCAGTGTTGCCACTTCAGAGACCACAAGCTATGTTTTCAAAGATTATTTCTGCCCATAGAGAATGCCTTCCTTTCGGCTTCACTCCAGCAACAAGACCAGCGTCACCTCCGTGGTGCCTACAACAACCACAGGTGTGCCTTACTATTTCGGGAATAACGAACAAGAGCCGTCATTCAACAGTGGTCCCACGACAGGTCACATTATCGCTACTCAACGAAAAATACGGCCAGAGGACCCACATTTACACCGATGGATTGGTCTCGGCTGACAGCTCCACAGGTGCTGTTGTCATCCCGGCGTACCAGGTCACTATAAAGCTCAAACTGTCGCATAGGACAACATCCACAGCAGCGGAGCTTGCCGCCTTACGTGCTGCTATACTTTATATCGCGGAAGCCCGACCTCAAAAATGGGCTGTGTTCTGCGACTCCAAGGCGTCCCTTCAGAGCTTGCAATCAGCTTTATGACAAAGGGAGCATCAACAACTAGTGAATGAAATAAGAGAAGAGATTCACGAAGTTTTATCGAAAGGACATGACGTGGTGTTCCAGTGGTTACCGGGATATTGTGGTATTGTCGGTAATGATTTTGCTGATAATGCTGCCCGATCCGCCCACGCGGACGCCCAGACAACCCTAATTCCATTGTCGAGAACCGACGCGGCAAGGGGCCTTCACTCGTTCTCTAACACCATGTCGGAAACTTGGCTGAGTGACCCCAGTATCAGAAACAACCGCCTACACAAATTGGACCCATCGAGAAAGCTTCAAGTTCCATCGGTCCTCTCCCGTCAGGATGCAACTTTACTGTGCCGCCTGTGGTTAGGAGTAGCTTTTACAAAGGCGCACTCCTTTCGCATAGGAATGGCGGATAGCTCCCGATGTGAGTTGTGTGACACTGACGAGACAATAGAACATCTACTGTGTTCATGTGAACGTTTTTCGAGTGAACGCAACTCGCTACGCGAAACGCTAGAGACACTAGACAGTAGACCTTTTTCCGAAGAGAAGATCCTCGGTTCATGGCTACACGCGTCGCAGGCCAGCAAAGCGACGCGAGCACTGCTAAGTTTTCTAAAGACGACCGGACTACGCGACTGCTTATAAGCGTGCAATAGACAAGGTCACATCTACACACATGTTGCCCTTCACTTCTCTCTCTCTTCTCCTTTAATCCCCTCACCCTTCTCCCAGTGCAGTGTAGCAAACCGGACGTGCGTCTGGTTGACCTCCTTGCCTTTCATTTCTTCCCTTCCTCCTCCTCCTCCCTCCTGTCCTGTATCTCCAAGTTTCTTCATCGCCTCGTCGATTTCGCGCAACCAAGTTTTAATTTGAAGGAATGCCACTAGTATTAACGCTTCAAAAAAGTTGTACTTCTACGTCACAAGTACCAACTTTCAAATGGCAGCACCATACACCAACTCGTCGCGCGAACAGCTTTTACATGATCAGTCAATGGGTGCTACGCACGATGATTCGAGCTTCTCGCGCAGACGAGTTTGCTTCGAGCTCGCTCTGCGGCGGGCATGTCATAAAGACAGTCGGGAACGCGTCAGTGCAGCATTACTAAAAAAACGGTTACAGGAACGTGCATGGCGTTGTAAACGCATATGGCCATTTGCAGCAGTTATCAAAGAAACAGCGCGTGCGAACACACCAGCGTCGCCTTCAGTTGATATTTTAACACTGCAGCGACATCAGTGCGATTGTCGCGCTAATATTCGTCAACTTAACACATGCTTGCTCAGCTGGCAAACACGCACACGTGTACGGGCTTGCCGTATGCGTCACCTCCACTCGCTAGGGGGACGATACGAGCACACGTACCGAACGGACGCGAGGAACATCAGCTCTGTCGATTTTCGGCTGCAGCCACGAACCTTTCTGCCAGATCCCGGAAAGTTTGTGGCCTTTGGACCCAACCAGTCACCTGGACCACGGAGACATCTAATTTGTCAAGGTGGGCCGATATATCAACAAATTGCAGCAACTTCGCCATATCGCCTCACGGCGCCTGCACTGAGTCTCATTGCTCAGCTAGCGTCCGGCAGCGGCGAAGTGAACGCCCGTGCCAAAATGGACGCTTGTTTAACTCAACGCAGCTACGACCCCGAGGAAATGGCATGGTCGACCTTTCCACACGTCTAGAACTAAGATTTGGCACCAACGGAGCCCATCCGCAATGAAAATTTGTTTCGTCTTGTGGAGACAAGCTCCCAGCGACGAAAGGCCAAGATGATCGCGGCCACGACCCAGGCCGCTTCAGGAAAGCAGCCATCCAAACCACCAGCTCCTACCTCGCGCAAAGAAAAGGGGCATGCAAAGCCAGCGTGGAAGCCGGAGACTCTTCGGAAATTCCACCCTGACGACATTGTAGTTGTCCTAAAGTCCGGACTACCCTGGCACTTGGTGCCACTTTCCAACCTGGTGAGCTCAGCCTGCCTTCGCGCTCTTAGCTTGGCGCGCAACTGGCTGCAGATTTTAGCCTTGTACTCTTTCCTGAGCAGAACCTTCTTGTCGCAAGTACCCAGAATGTCCATGTGGCTGACCGCCTACTTGGGGACTTCGTCATCAAAACGGCGCAAGGAGATGTGGCCCTTCGTGGGCATCTCAAGCAATATGACGAAGATGTCAGCTATGGCCTCGTCTCCGTATCTAATTATCAGACTGATGAAACCCCGAGGAATAGCATTCAATGGAAGCAGAGAACTATCGTCGTCATTCGCAAGTTTGGGACGTCTAACAAGGCCCGACTCATCTTCGCCGGGAAGGTCAAGCCGCAGACTGTCCTCTACAACTATGAGACCATCACTGTCTGGCCCTACCTCCGGGCCATCCCGGCCTGCGGCGTGTGTGGCACCGTGGGACGAAGGACGGACACATGCCCCAATCCAAAACAAAATATTTGTGGTCTGTGGGGACAACACGCGCCATTTGTCAAGGGGGTGTAGGCCCCTCACGAGTGCAACGCGAAATGTGCAGATTGTGGTGGTGGCCACGCCACGAACTCAAAGAACTCTGTGTCTAAATACCGCACTGCCACCAAGTTGGCCAGCTCAAAGGACGGCAAGACCAATCCAGCAAGGAAGTCACTGTCACAACAGCCAACACACAGGTCTGGCGGCGGCGATGACTCACCGCAATGCAGTGATCATAAGGCGACGCCGGCACATAGTGGCCCCCAAAAGAGGGATGGATGGATTGATATGGCTGTACCCTTAAGATCGGGTGGTGGCTAACGCCACGAAGCCGTAAAACTTAGTGAAGCAAAAAGTAAATTTATCTCTTTTTTTTCTTAAAATAGTGAGGTTGAGGACTGGTACTTTGCACCGAAGGGTTTAATTTGTACTCGTGCCTTGACTTTAGCTACTAATCAGGTAACCTTCTTTTAGTTGTTTCTACCCACTTGAATTCTATTTTCCCCTCCCTGTCCCTAAACCCCAGTGCTTTGAAACACTGTGCGCCATTATCCTGAAATATAGAATGAAGCCCATTACAGAACATTATCAAGTGTTCGGCAGTTTCCTCCTGTTCTCCACAGGCAGTGCATAACGTGTCTACCCATTCATATTTGCCCCGATATGTCTCGGTTCGCATTACTCCCATCATTGCCTCGAAGAGTATAAAACTACCCCGAGTATTATCCTAGATCCTTTCCTTGGCAATTTCCTGCTTAAAAGTTCGATAGATCTCTAGTTCGGACTTCTTAATCATGCCGATTCTCTACATATTCGGCTCAGCTTTCTTCACCGATAATTCTTTTTTGTTTGGCCCCTTGGTGTTTTTTAAGTATTTCCCCACCAGTTTTCTGGTTCGCTTCCCCTATTTTGTATCAAGATTCTTCGTGTACAAGTAGCTGAATACCTCCCTAGCCCAACGCTCCTGTCCCATTTCTCTCCATCGCTTCTCAAATTTTGTCTTGCTGCTAGCTTCCCTGCCCTCAAATGATGTCCATCCCATATCACCTTGTACTCCCCGATTTAGTGTATTCCCGTGAGCTCCTATGGCAAGCCTACCTATTCCACGTGGCTTGATTTGTAATCTTGCTTGAACTTCTGATCTCATGCACGCATTGCCGAACGTTAGACGAGGAACCATGACCCCTTCCCCATTCCTCTCACAACATCATACCTACTGTAATTCCACAGTGGCATAAATTTCATCACTGCTGCATTCCTGTTACCATTGATGGTTACGTATTATTTCGTGTGCCCTTAGGTACTCGGTCTCATTGGTTATCCATATGCCCAAATATTTGTATTTATTTGTTATCTCTAGCGTGACCTGTATTCTAAGCTCACTACCTTCATTATCACTGAAAATCATGACTGCTGATTTTTCCTTACTGAATCTGAAATCTAACATATCTCCCTCATTACCGCAGATGTCCATTGATCTCTGCAAATCTTCCTTGTTGTCAGCCATTACCACTATATCATCTGCGCATATCAATGCTGGTAGTGCCTGTTCAATGAGCTTTCCTTGTTTGATGAAAGAGAGGCTGAAGCCAGGTCCACTTCCCTCTAATTTGGCCTTTAATCTTTGTAAGTATATCAAGAATAACACGGGTGACAGAGGCCACCCCTGCCTAAGCCCCCGTTTAACCTCTGCGAGCTTCGATACTTGTTTTCGCACTTTATAACTACCTTGTTACCTCTATAGATATCCTTTAAAAGATTAGTGGCTCTCTCTTCCACACCTAGTGTGTCCAGTATTCTCCACAAGTCCTCTTGAACCACGCTATCGTACGCTCCCTTCATATCCAAAAATGCTAGCCACGGGGACCTGTGTTTCTCTTTAGCTATTTCGATAAACTGCGTCAGTGAGAACAGATTGTCTTCCAACCTCCTGTGTATCCGAAACCCATACTGTAGTTCCCCCAGTACCCCCTGACCCTTTATTCATGCCCGCAGTATATCCTTTAAAATCTGCATCGCCACCCTGTAAACCACTTGGGGGAGCATCACCACCACCACCGCCACACGGTGGCCAAGGGAATCAGAGCCGCCCCCAGCAGCAGCAGCAGTAATCCAGAAAGCAAGGCGCGGGCGACGTCTGGGCAACCGTCGTGAAAACTGGCAAACAGGTGAGCGGTGCTAGTGGGCTGCTCCCTCCGTCCCCTCTCCTGCATCATCCAATTCCCGCTCAACGGATGACCCTGAGCACCACAATCTAGTGGCATCTCTCCAGTCACCAAACGAGATGCTCCTAGCCAAAATTGAAGCCCTTGAAAAGCAATTCACTCGTCCTCCTCAACATGCCCCACACTCGGAGTATAGGGAGAGTGTGGCGGTGCCACCAGCGGCTCTGGAATCTTTGATTGCCGTTCTTGAGACCCGCATCGAAACCAAATTTATCACCATGATGAACACAATTGCTGCACAAATTATATCCCAAATTACTACTCACACAAATGGTCAAATTATTGCTCAAGTAGCGGAGACCCTCCCTAACATGCTTGAGCACCCTGCGCGCAAGGGTAGCGTCAAAGATTTCTTTGACCGCTCAAGCAAATTTTCCCGTCGCGAAATCATTCTTAACGACGATGAGGGTAGTGGGTCCCTCTCTGGGACAGAAGTACAGGCTCAAGGAGATGACTCCGGAGCTACGGCTCCCTCGAATGTAACTGCAAATCTTAATAATGGCGGGACACCCTTCGTGTAGGCAGTCCCCAGGTCAAAATTGGCATCCCCCATTTTAGTAACTCAGTGGAATTGCCGGGGACTCCGGTCTCGTATAAGCGGGCAAACCTTCGGATGTACATCTCAACCTTCACTCAATTGTCCGCCATGGTGGCAATTGAGGAGGAAAGAGCTTCACCTTGCAAAATTATACGACGTTCCAACGCGACCCCTCGTCTTTTCTTTGCGTCCACAAAAACCACACTGCCACCATGGTCGACCTTGACCTCCAACTGGAATACTCCTATGTAATGGTGACCCTCCTTCCCACCCGTTAATAAGATCCACCGTCACATATCCTTAACGTATACTGCGCTCAGAAACTGCCGAATGTTTCATTTTCGGGCCTCTTTAGCCGCACGCTAACAATTGCGGTTCAATAAAACTTGTAGCTGGGCGAGTTGGTTCATAATACTGGGTAAACTGGTGTGCGCACAAAAAAACAGACAAACGACAGCAGAGAAGAGACAGGGACAAGCGCAGACTTTCAACTAAATTTAATTCTTCGTCAACCTTCAATTTACAGTCGCACAGAACATAGTCAAGTGGTCACGAGGACAGAACCTAATAGTTTACAACAGACCACGCAAAAAATGACGCTCACTATCAAAAAGCGAAATGGATGTATCACTAACACAGGTATTGCCTCTAGCAGAAATATAAAACGCTTCCATCAGTTCCCGGGCTGTGGTATCAGCACTCCGACCCAAAATCCTAATCTCCGAGAAAATCGGTGAGCACGTGCAAGCTTTGCAATGCGCGGGCAAATGCGTGATCCCGTTATTTTTAAGTGACAGCTCATGTTCCCTTGCACGGTCGTTCACGCAACGCCCCGTATGACCCACGTAAAATTTCCCACAAGACAGCGGTATTTCGTAGACAACGCCCGTCGCACATTTCACATACACAAACGCGTGCTTCTTTCCGCAACCACCGGATCTCTTCTCGCCAGGGAAGATTCTGGGACAAAGTCCAGCCAACTTACGTGGGGCGGAGAACACGATCGGCACACCGTGTCTACTCGCTATCTTTTTGAGGTTGTGGGAAATGCGATGCATATAAGGCATCACCTCCGGGCGCCACCTGCGACGCAGGCCAGGGTTCCCGCTGGAACGGACTGCTTTGGCATCACGCAGAAGCACTTCAGCGACTGCCGAGACTACCGTGCAAGGATACCCAGCGGCAATTAAACGCCGCACCTGATCATTAAAGCTTTCTTGCATTGCATGTGAGCATGACTTCTCAAGAGCGGACCGTAGACACAGTTTGGCAATCCCCCTTTTTACGAGTTTAGAATGCGCAGAATCATAGGACAAAAGGGCCTTCTGCGCACGGGGACAATAACGCCAACATAGGTGGTCATATAAAACGAGACGTAAATCTAAAAACTGCAACGAATTATCAGTAGGAAATTCATAGGTGAAGGTCAAGCCCTTACCGCACAGTTTAAATGCATTAAGAATAGCGTCAACAGAGTTGTCCAAAGAAGTAAAATGGGGTCTCTTTAAAAGAATTAAAAATCGTCCACATACCTAAAAACTTTAACAACGCATCTATTATCAAGAATGCTAACTAAACCCCGATCAACATCCGCCAAGAAAATGTTGCATAAAACAGGCGCCACGCACGATCCAATACAAATACCTTCTCGCTGCAGATAAAACCATCTTTAAATGAAACAAAGGTAGAACGAAGATAAAATTCTAGTAACGACATGAAATTCTCGACCGATAAGCCGGAAGCATTTTGAAAAGCTATGACTCCATTCGAATCAATGCAGGCACGAACAGACGCGAACAACTGCGCATGAGGAACGGAATAAAATAGATCCTCTACATCCACAGAAAACATAAAGTCCGTACAATTCTCGACCTGCAGAAACCGCACAACATCCTCTGAACTCTTTGTAGCGAAAGGATCCACAACTTTCAGCCCATTCAGTTCTTTGAGCAAGAACTGGCTAACTGAATGCTGCCATGAACCCTGCTCATTAACTATCGTTCGCAAAGGAACTCCAGGCTTGTGCGTCTTTGCAGTGAAGAAAACTTTGAGTGCATTACCTTTGCTTGTGCTAATATCTCTTGCCAACCGAACGAGTTCAAAGTCCTTGCACATGTTACTGTTAAAAGCAGTACTGTTCGTGTTAAAACTAAAGCAGTTAACATGTGCAAGGACTTTGAACTCGTTCGGTTGGCAAGAGATATTAGCACAAGCAAAGGTAATGCACTCAAAGTTTTCTTCACTGCAAAGACGCACAAGCCTGGAGTTCCTTTGCGAACGATAGTTAATGAGCAGGGTTCATGGCAGCATTCAGTTAGCCAGTTCTTGCTCAAAGAACTGAATGGGCTGAAAGTTGTGGATCCTTTCGCTACAAAGAGTTCAGAGGATGTTGTGCGGTTTCTGCAGGTCGAGAATTGTACGGACTTTATGTTTTCTGTGGATGTAGAGGATCTATTTTATTCCGTTCCTCATGCGCAGTTGTTCGCGTCTGTTCGTGCCTGCATTGATTCGAATGGAGTCATAGCTTTTCAAAATGCTTCCGGCTTATCGGTCGAGAATTTCATGTCGTTACTAGAATTTTATCTTCGTTCTACCTTTGTTTCATTTAAAGATGGTTTTATCTGCAGCGAGAAGGTATTTGTATTGGATCGTGCGTGGCGCCTGTTTTATGCAACATTTTCTTGGCGGATGTTGATCGGGGTTTAGTTAGCATTCTTGATAATAGATGCGTTGTTAAAGTTTTTAGGTATGTGGACGATTTTTTAATTCTTTTAAAGAGACCCCATTTTACTTCTTTGGACAACTCTGTTGACGCTATTCTTAATGCATTTAAACTGTGCGGTAAGGGCTTGACCTTCACCTATGAATTTCCTACTGATAATTCGTTGCAGTTTTTAGATTTACGTCTCGTTTTATATGACCACCTATGTTGGCGTTATTGTCCCCGTGCGCAGAAGGCCCTTTTGTCCTATGATTCTGCGCATTCTAAACTCGTAAAAAGGGGGATTGCCAAACTGTGTCTACGGTCCGCTCTTGAGAAGTCATGCTCACATGCAATGCAAGAAAGCTTTAATGATCAGGTGCGGCGTTTAATTGCCGCTGGGTATCCTTGCACGGTAGTCTCGGCAGTCGCTGAAGTGCTTCTGCGTGATGCCAAAGCAGTCCGTTCCAGCGGGAACCCTGGCCTGCGTCGCAGGTGGCGCCCGGAGGTGATGCCTTATATGCATCGCATTTCCCACAACCTCAAAAAGATAGCGAGTAGACACGGTGTGCCGATCGTGTTCTCCGCCCCACGTAAGTTGGCTGGACTTTGTCCCAGAATCTTCCCTGGCGAGAAGAGATCCGGTGGTTGCGGAAAGAAGCACGCGTTTGTGTATGTGAAATGTGCGACGGGCGTTGTCTACGAAATACCGCTGTCTTGTGGGAAATTTTACGTGGGTCATACGGGGCGTTGCGTGAACGACCGTGCAAGGGAACATGAGCTGTCACTTAAAAATAACGGGATCACGCATTTGCCCGCGCATTGCAAAGCTTGCACGTGCTCACCGATTTTCTCGGAGATTAGGATTTTGGGTCGGAGTGCTGATACCACAGCCCGGGAACTGATGGAAGCGTTTTATATTTCTGCTAGAGGCAATACCTGTGTTAGTGATACATCCATTTCGCTTTTTGATAGTGAGCGTCATTTTTTGCGTGGTCTGTTGTAAACTATTAGGTTCTGTCCTCGTGACCACTTGACTATGTTCTGTGCGACTGTAAATTGAAGGTTGACGAAGAATTAAATTTAGTTGAAAGTCTGCGCTTGTCCCTGTCTCTTCTCTGCTGTCGTTTGTCTGTTTTTTTGTGCGCACACCAGTTTACCCAGTAACAATTGCGGGTAGGGACCTCCTCCAGATCACGGCTGACTTCAACGCCCGCACTCGAGTTTGGGGGTACCGTCTTGAAGAGAAGCGTGGGCGTAAGCTGGCGGAACTTGCGTCAACGCTGGGCCTTCCTCCTCACACCAACCCGGTCTACACAGCTCGAATAGGCAACTCTGTGACACGAGATACGTGTCCACATTTGACCTTTACCCCCGGCATTCTGTATGCAGAGTGGGTGAACACGGAGGAAACCCTCGATAGCAACCACTGCATTTTGAATACAATAGTCCAGACCAAACCATTGGCGCATCCCATATCTCTGGCCCGGCTCCAAGACTGGTCAAAATTTAGGCAAAATTATAGCACAGCGACATCGATACTCGAGCAAGGCTGCGACACGTGGTTCCATTAATTGGTTTGTAACCATCGCTCCACTGAAACGCAAATTCTGCTTTCAGACGTGGTCTCAGACGTGGATAACCACCTCCTCTACCTCTGGGAGGCACGACATTGCCTTGTCTGCCATTGGCGCCGACAAAAGCGTAATTGAAAACTCAAACCTAAAATTACCGAGCACAACTAGAAGGTGGCCGAGTATGCGGCCCAACTCGCGGACGCCAGCTGGCTGAATAGATGCAACACGGCAGTGCGCCAGATGTCAGGCAAAAGTACTTCATTCATTTTCATTTTACCCTCAGGACCGAAGTATTACAGAGGGAAGTGGTTAACAATACATAAAAAGCAAAACGAAAACAAAGCAGCAAAAGTGGCTAATACAAAAAATAATTGGTCGGTTAGGTCCTGGAGTGATGATGTCTTTAATTACCAAGCAAAACTTTGAGTGGTCCTTGATAGAAACAATAGTGCCGGGAAGGTGGCTCCATTCTTGAGACATCCAGGAAAAAAAACATTCGTGACAGGCGGTGGTATGGCAGAGCAGTATCTAAACCTTATGGACATGATCAGTGCGAGAAGAAATGTAAAAAGGAGATGATAATGGGTTTTCACGCAGGTAGGAATTGTAAAAATATAAGTTATGAAATGAAGCAAGGCGAAAACACTTACGTCGGGATGAAAAGGGAGGAAGTAGTAAAAAGTTTTTCGTGGAATTAACGCTTGATGTTAGGCTGTAATTGCCATAGATTAAACGAGCAGCGTTATTGTATATTAGTTCAAGCGATTGAATATGGGTGGCTGAGTGAGGGTCAAAGATGGATGATGCGTAATACATTTTACTGCTAATGAGTATTTTATATAAGGTTAATTTTAATGAAGAAGGAGCAGAAGAGAAATTTTGCCGGATATATTCAAAGATGCGGTTAGTAAAGCTTATTAGCTTATCAATGTGTTAAGACCAGGAAAGTGTCGAGGTAACATAGACGGTAAGGCACTTGTAGAATGTTACGGGTTCTAGGAGAATGTTATTAAGATAAGTGTTTGGCGGATGGATATTGTTACGAGTTACACGCATTGTTTTACAATTAAAAACGTTTAGTTCCATCAGCCATTCGTCATACCAGTTAGAGATAGTGTTAATATTGTTTTGTACGGAATTGTTATTATTGTCATCTGAGATTTCGCGGAAGATAACGCAGACATCTCCGAAAAGATAAATGTTAGAGGAAACAGCGTTAGGTAAGTCGTTAACCTAGATGAAGCAAAGAAGGGGGCCTAAAACTGATTCCTGCGGTACACCAGAGTCCACAGAGTTGAATGAAGATGCATGACCATTTGATGCAACGTATTGTGACTGATTTAAGAGAAAACTCTCAAGTCATCTACACATCTAAGGATCAAGACTAAGTTTACTAAGTTTAAAGAGAAGAAGTTGGTGACATACTTTGTCGAAGGCCTTGGCGAAATAAAATATACACAGTCTGCGAAAGAACCATTGTTAAGAATAAGATGGAGGCTGTGAGTAAAAGAAAGAAATTGTGTTTCGCAAGACAAGTTTTTTCGGAAACCATGCTGTGATTTCGTAAAAGATGAACTAATGTGTAGGTGCTCTGCTAAGTATGAGTACAGATTATGTCCGAGAACCTTGCAGGCATAAGCGTATCAACCAGGAGGGGGCAAGGAGGGCGCAAGCCTCCCCCCCCCCCTTAGAAAAGTTGGGGGGTGGGGGCTGAGCCTCCCGACTTTCGACAGTGGTCACTGTTGGATGCACACTGGGGCAAACAACAACTAAGGTGCAATTTTTCTTTGCCACTGTAATCTTTCAATCAAGTTGCTACGAGGAAAAGAAAATATTACGAGGAAAAGTTACAATAGAGTGATGATTTTTCAACATTTCAGGAGTGACGATTTCCTCGAAGACTCTTTGCGACGCTCAATGTCCTGTTCTCCAGCGCTGCAGAGAAGGTTAGCTCTGAACAGGAGCTCTATAATACTACAACACTTCATGTTTGTATTCTGTTGCGACTGGCTGGTGCAGGTAAAAATGGGAACGAACAAACTTTTTATGGACCGGTCAAAGCGTTTGCAGCTTAAGAATATTCATTTTCTTTCATCTAAAAGCAATAACATCACTGCTGCTTTGTCGAAGCTGCTGTGAGCACATGATTGCGACTTTTTCTAAATATTGCGACGACGAAGACCGAAACTGGCACTCTGGCACAGACGCGCATGCTAGGCGAGCGAGGAAGAAGCAGAATAAGAACAGCTGGCCAAGGATCGGGTGTTGTCTCTTGTTCTCTGTCTCGCTCATTACAATGGCGCAGTCGACGAAGAAGAAGTCTTACGTCCCAGCTTCGTCATCCAAGACAGCCGCAATAAGCGCCGCTCGAGGACGGCGTCAAGGCCTCCTTAGCGGCTGCAGTACACGTTACCAGTACCATTTCATAAGGACGCCGTCCACGCGTCCTTGGCTATGTATTCTGCCGTCAGCGCAAGCCGACAAGTGAACCCTCTGCTTGAAGACATCGGTACGTTTCTTCATGGTACGTCGGCAGTGCGGGCTTCTCCATCGAGGAACGCCGTTCACGCTTCCTTGGCCATGGGGTCCCACCTGCCGCTTCAGCTACCCTTCAAACCACCCATGGACGGCGTCCAGGCCTCCCTTAGGTTTGTAGGGCATGACCTTATTGACACCCTGCCACTGTTTCGCGGCAGGGATCCGCACCGGCTCCTGTCCTTTGGGAATGCCAATCACGCTTCCCATGGCCTACATTCCCGTTGCTGCACTCTTTCAACATACGAGCTGCCAGGGAACACCGTCCAGGCTTCTCTGCTCGTCAACCTCACCGGCGTGAG